AATAATAATAATAATAATAATAATAATAATAATAATAATAATAATATCATCATCATCATTATTATCATTATTATCATTAGCATTAATTTATATCCTATCATCATTATCATTATTATTATCACTATTATTAAAGGAATAATTAAACTTTAGCAGCTTGTCAGGTTCTCTTATTTCTTTTGAGCATCCCCCCCCCTTAATATCTCCAAAGGTTATTTTGAAACTAAAAAAAAAATTGGCAGCAGTTTTGTGGGAAAAAAATCAATTTTTTTAAAAAAATAGTATGGTTTTGGTTCTGGAAACTACATGGGTTGGGTAGTGGTGAGATAGTGAGAAGTGACACTATGTTTGAAAGCTTTTCAATGAGCAGTAAATAACCGCCAATGGCAGTCAGCCGATTGCGTTTCACATTATTTGTGGAGGCTGGCAGTCCATTCCTTTTTGCTTTCTGCTTCTAAAGACTTTTGACGGGCCCGGTTTCATTCACAAATGTAGAACTAAATGAGAACTCGTCTCCGAGAGGCGGAAATTGTTTTCAGGTGCTCACCTCTTTCTTTTCTCCCTCCTCTCCTCCTGCTCCATATACGCCAGGTGTACGATCGAGATTTAACCACTTCCGACTTTATGGGTTCAGCGGGTCTAATGCTGGATGAACTGGAATTGAACAGGTAACGTTCAAGCTGATTAAAACGGCCGGCCGCTTTCTTGCTTCAAAGCACTGTTCCTTATTTGAGAGATGACTCGTGGCCCTGTTCATTTTGCTGCCTGAGGCAGAAGAGTACAAGGCACCCCATCACCAATCAAGGGCTTAGCACTCATAGGCAGCTGAGCTGATTTGATGCATGGGTTATAAAGATTTACGAGCATCTTTCCACCCCAAATCCCAAGCAGGAAAAATTCAGTAGAATCACAGAGCCATAGAGTAATGCACTCGGACGGGGCCTATAAGGATATTGAATCCAAGCCCTGCTCAATGCGGGAATCCAAATAGTTACCAACAGATTTATTAGTTGTCAGTGTGACCACCTCACTGCTATGTTCTTAGTTAGGCTGATGAAGTTTTAACTTATGTTTTCCTTTCCTTTGGGGGAAAAAACCCACACTGAACAAACATGAGAATGTGTGTCTTCGAGATCAATGTTAAGGGGATGTTTTTGCGTATTCTTGCCAAATTTAATAGTATGGGCTAAATCCAGTTGTCTGTTCTAACTGGAGTAGACAAACTACCCAGAATTTTACTGGGAATTGACACTGGAGTAAATGTAATTCTGTAAACTAAAGTAGCAAGTTGCTTTTAATTAACAAGTTGCCATTTACATTTCTGGGTGCAGGATGAAAAACATGGCTGGCACATGACCAGCAGTGTGAGTGGATACTAGCTAGTCGGCATCAGTTTATCTCTGTGATTGATACTATTGCATTTATACCAGTGTACATCCCTTCTAGAATTCTGACCATTGGACCAATAAGACTGCAGAGGCATTGACTTAGTATGTCCCATCCATGCAGAAACATCTAGTCTAGATAGCACAAAAAGTTGGATTTAAACCATAGCTTCTCTAGAGATCCATGGGAATTAAATCCATAATTGGGAGGGAGGAATGCATTAGGATTTATTTATTTATTTACTATAATTTATTCCCCACACATCGAATGGTAAGCTATTACTCTGGGCAACTACCAAAAAATAACATAAATGTACAAACAAAATTAAAATAATAATCATATAAAAGCAAGAATCCATCCTAAAAAATAAACCCTCTCTAATAGGCATTGCTAAATGTCAAGATGGCAAAATTAACAAAACTGAATCTGGAGTTAAGCAGTAAACCAGCACCATAGGGCCAATACAATGTAGAATGACAGCCAGCAAGTTTATATTAAAAATTTCTTCATGCTTGTTTCCAGATTCACTTCAGCTTTCTTCGTCATTATGATATTTGTAGGATGCACCGTACCACTCTGCAAGTGGAAAAGCTATAGAAGCGGCTGAAAAATAAATATAAAGGATAAAAGTGAGCCTCTGTTTGTAGGCTTACACCTTTAAAAAGACATGACACAAAAGGAAAAGAAATGAGGAGGGCAAAGGAAAAAGAAAATACAGTATCACTCATAAAGTGTGTCTGGACATTACATTACTTAATAATGGGTAATAGTGAAGGTATAAAATAATTTAATAGCACCAAAGAATTGTTGCAACAGTGGCTGTATATTGCAACTGCAATGTACTGGAAAAGCTATAGAAGCGGCTGAAAAATAAATATAAAGGATAAAAGTGAGCTTCTGGTCGTAGGCTTACACCTTTAAAGAGACATGACACAAAAGGAAAAGAAATGAGGAGGGCAAAGGAAAAAGAAAATACAGTATCACTCATAAAGTGTCTCTGGACATTACATTACTTAAATAGCGAAGGTATAAAATAATTTAATAGCACCAAAGAATTGTTGCAAGAGTGGCGGTATATTGCAACTGCAATGTACATTTTTGCCTAAATTTAGTGTGACTAAAGTATATTTGTTGGATCCTGTGTTCACTGGATTCCAGGGTGAGTCAGCCAGTTGACACCCCCCCCCAACTTGTTTTCTCCTTTTAGGACTTGTGAGAAGATACTGAAACTTGAAGATCCCAACAGCTTAGAGGACGACATGGGTGTGATCGTGTTGGACTTAAAGCTCACGGTGAAACAGGGAGATGTGAAAAGAAATGTAAGCTGTCCAAAAAAACATTTTTAAAATATTTTTTTCAGCCTTTTTTTTTGCCCATAATACATGAAAGAAGGGAAGAGTTCTGCTATCTGTAGCCGGACAACGTGGTTAAACAGTGTATGCACAATTTGTCCAGCAGGAATCCTGAGTGGGTGCCCGAGGTTGGGTGGGATTTAGTCCCCACTCCAGAAGCCCCCTCATCTGTTTGATACAACTTATATCGTCTATTGAATATATGAGGAAACTTTGCCGTTTTTGAGCTGTAAGATTTTATGACTATGCAAGAGGGACGTGGTGGCGCTGCGGGCTAAACCGCAGAAGCCTGTGCTGCAAGGTCAGAAGACCAGCAGTCGTAAGATCGAATCCACGCGACGGAGTGAGCGCCCGTCGCTTGTCCCAGCTCCTCGCCAACCTAGCGGTTCGAAAGCATGCAAATGCAAGTAGATAAATAGGGACCACCTCGGTGGGAAGGTAACAGCGTTCTGTGTCTAAGTCGCGCTGGCCATGTGACCACGCAAGATTGTCTTCGGACAAAACACTGGCTCTATGGCCTGGAAATGGGGATGAGCACCGCCCCCTAGAGTCGAACACGACTGGACAAAAATTGTCAAGGGGAACCTTTACCTTTACCTTTAAGAAGTGGCTAGGTGGTGCTAAGCTCTTCCAGCGTTAGGGATACCCTGGTCTCCCTGTCCATTACGTTCCATACAGGCTGTCTGTCAGAAAACTACAGTACCCCTAATGCTTTGCAACACCGACAAAGCTTAGCTCCACCCAACTGGTTTCTCCATCATCCTACAGCCGTTTTTGAGCTGTAAGATTTTATGACTACTCAAGAAGTGGCGAGGTGGTGCTAAGCTCTTCCAGCGTTAGGGATACCCTGGTCTCCCTGTCCATTACGTTCCATACAGGCTGTCTGTCAGAAAACTACAGTACCCCTAATGCTTTGCAACACCGACAAAGCTTAGCTCCACCCAACTGGTTTCTCCATCATCCTACAGCTCAGAAACGGAGCATCATTTTTTTCTTATTTATTCAGCAGATGTTGTAAGATATTTCGAGAAACTTTGAAAGGGCTAAATCCCACAGAATTCTGCCCGGGGCATTTCCAGCCGACTTGGATGCTGTCGTCCAAACAATACAAAAGTCCCACCTCTGATCCTGGGATTTGTATATTCATGAAGCATTTCAAAGTTTCCGCTTTAGCACCCTAGTCCCTAGCTTGATGATGTACTTAGCCCAGAAGTCTAGGTACATCAACAAACTACATCTCCCAGGAATGGAGCCACAGCACCTGAAATGGCATCATGCATCATACTGATAGCTTTGCACTGTTCTTAATTAGACTCAAAATGGCCTGATGTATCTGAGGTGAGTTTATGAGGATTAGTTATAAAAGAACAGAAGAGCACTCCGGACATCTGTTTGAGCTGTCGTGATGTAATGTGCGAGAGCTGTCTAGAACTACATCTCCCAGGAATGGAGCCACAGCACCTGAAATGGCATCATGCATCATACTGATAGCTTTGCACTGTTCTTAATTAGACTCAAAATGGCCTGATGTATCTGAGGTGAGTTTATGAGGATTAGTTATAAAAGAACAGAAGAGCACTCCGGACATCTGTTTGAGCTGTCGTGATGTAATGTGCGAGAGCTGTCTAGAACACTGGTTCTTAACCTTGAATTACTCAGGAGTTTTGGACTGCAACTCCCAGAAGCCTTCACCACTAGCTAAAGAACAGAAGAGCACTCCGGACATCTGTGTGAGCTCTCGTGATGTAATGTGCGAGACCTGTCTAGAAAATGCATTGCACCTAAATTCTCAACCGTTGCTGCTTGGAGTAGGCTCTTGGTTAGGCCAGCTGCTTGCCAGAGCTGGGAGACATTTCCTCTTCAGACTACATCTCCCAGAATTCCCCAGCCCACACGGATCCTGGGGTGACAGCTGAAAGAAGTGCATTCCTCCAAACTCTTCTGCTGCTTAGTTCTTTGCCTGCTGGCACTTGGTAGTGTATGAAATAAAAATGGACTGGGGATTCCTGCTTCCTTTCCATAGTCTGAGAGCCATTGCTTGGTTGAAACAAGCCACTTCTGCAGGGGTGGATTATGATGAAACTAAAAAAGCTTACATTCCCTAATCCTGGAGGGGGCCCAGAATAGACATTAGTTTTCATTTTTAGAGAATCTGTGTTGTTGATCTGCTTCCATTGAAGAAGAGAACAGTGGTTACCCAGACCTCGTTGCTGGTTCTCAAGGAGCCCCCATAACAGTTCAGTTTTGGGGGCCCCCCAAACTGTAGGCCTGCCAATGCACTTCTATCCTCATGTTCTACTTTGGCTGTTATTTGAAATTTGTGGCTTAGAAGACCTCTCCAAAAGCATCTTCGAAGAAGCTTAGAAACTTGCGCATCAACATGTCCTTCTCAGAATCTACACCTGGTTGCTAACAACCCCAACCCTCCTTGTCTTCTCTTTCTTCCCTCTCTTGGATGGTCCACATCATGCTGACGCTGGCCTCGTGCGCAGAAATGGGTGAACCGGAGAAAGCGCTCAACACCAAAGGTAGCTGCATTCTACTCCTCTGTTTTTCCCCCCATTTCTTTCAGCTCACGAAAGAGTTCAGGATTTATATTGGGATAGAGACGTCCTGGAAAGATGAGAACTAGAGATGGCCCATGAATTGGGGAAATGGTGATTCGTGGTGGTTTGTCACTATTCACGAATCACAGACTTCCACGAACCTTCGATAAAACAAACTGTTTTCATATTTTGTGCAATTTGGGACATCTGGAAATGGCAGTGAAGATTGGATTTGGTTCCCTCCACCCAACCCCCCCAAGAAAGTGCTCTTTAGGGAGCTAAGCCACTTCATGTTGAGCAACATCCTGTCTCAAGTCCCCTCTCACGAACTGCTCATTTAATTTTTCCCAAGGCAGCTGCTAACGAGCACTTTCCTGGAGGGACTTGCTGGGGGGGTTATAACTCGGATGTCCCAAATCCAGCCTTTGCCACACCTGGAGGGGGCGGAGAAGAGAATCAGCTGCAAATTTGGTATCTATAACTTGTGCAGGGACTGTTTTACCCCTCTTGGAAAGCCCAAATTGCATGAACCACAAAGTGTACGAATTGCCAGTATTGATCATCATTTAGTGTTTCTTTTTATTCTCGAACCATGAAATGGCCTGATTTGTGGTTTATTTATTTTATTTTTATTTTTGCTTTGTGATTTGTTTTGTGCTCATCTCACCTTTGGGCTCCCGATCCCCCGGGACCTGAACTAGGCATTCTAGGTGGCAAAGAGATCATTTCCATTAAAAAAAAAAACACAACCAACTTTCATCTTTATTATTTTGTCTCCTGAAACTAGTTGTGCAGGGCGGGGGGGGGGAGCATTCTTCTCAGGGTATGATCAGATAGCGAAATGGCTTGCATTTTGGTCTGCACTGTGCAGCACAAGCTATTTCCCAGCAATCACATAATGTAGTCTATCACCCTCACATGCAGAAACAAGGAACAGAATTATTCTCAATGAGAGGGTTAGTATTCTTGCATTCCTCTGGATATGAATTTTCAAATCCCGTTGGCTGTACGGCAACACAGCAGCGGCACCTACTGGTAGATTATAAGCCTTGCAAGGCATCTCATGACAAGCCAGAGAGTCCAGAGATGGGAAATTGGCCTGTTTGGAGGATAGCTCTCAGAATGTCAGAGTCAGCGTCGTAGAAGAAAGTAACGTTGTCCATCTATGCTGAAGTCACACAGCAAAAAGAAGAGAAAAATGAAAGCAGCCACCCATGTCAAATGCTACACTTCAAAGAGAAGCCTGAAGTACCGCCCCAGGCACTAAGATAATTCTGTCTAAGATAATTCTCACTTAAGTCAGCAGGGGCTTATTTCTGAGTTTCTAACTGTATATGGTTGCACTGCTAGTTTTTAAATGTTTGCTTCCGTTCATAATATAAAAAAGTGAAGTCTTGTTTAATTGATTGATTGATTGATTGGTTGATTGATTAAAAGGACGAAAGGTAGCTTAAATCATTCAAAGACAATATGTGGGAGGGAATTCGAGAATCTGGGAGCAGCCACCGAGAAGGCCCTCCCCTGTATCCCCACCAAGCGCACCTGTGAAGATGTTGGGACCGAGAGAAAGGCCTCCCTTGATGATCTTAACACCAGACCAGATTCATCAAGGGGGATGTGGTCCTTGAGATAGCTTCAACCCATGCCATTCTGGGCTTATAAAAAAGTGAAGTCTTGTTTAATTGATTGATTGATTGATTGGTTGATTGATTAAAAGGACGAAAGGTAGCTTAAATCATTCAAAGACAATATGTAAAAACAAAAGAAAAAAGAAAAAAGGGGATATACAAATATTGGGGGAAAAAAATCAAACAGATACCATACTAAAAATGGTAAACAACATCAAAACCAAAAAGACACTTTCAAAGCAACAAGGCACAACAATCCACTTAAAAACCCCACTTAGGCAGTCACTCACTTAGGGAAAGCCTACCTGAAGAGAAAGGGCTTTGCCTGCTTTTGGAAGGACAGCAAAGATGGGGCCAGGCTGGCTTCCTGTGGGAGGGAATTCGAGAATCTGGGAGCAGCCACCGAGAAGACCCTCCCCTGTATCCCCACCAAGCACACATGTGAAGATGTTGGGACCGAGAGAAAGGCCTCCCAGACCAGATTCATAAAGGGGGATGTGGTCCTTGAGGTAGCTTCAACCCATGCCATTCTGGGCTTTGTAGATTCCAACTAGCTCTTTGAATAACTTCTGTTAGCTCTCTAATGTGTTATAACAATTGTCTACTGATATTATCACAATGTATGTACATGTTTTTGCTGTGAGCTTACCCGTTCAATCCTGATGTACCCAGAGCTCAAATTGCAGAAGCTGCTCAATCAAACAAGATTTCATTCTGTGGCCTGATTATGCATGCCTGTCACCTTTATTGGATCACTGCAGGAGCTTCCTTAGTTGGCGCTCAGAACACATGTAATTACTAATCAAGATACCGGCTGATATATATACAACAATGTTTCATGAATTCAACATAGACATCTTTGCATTCTTTGTTCACAGATATGTTTAGAAGGAGATGTAAAAAAAGTACTATTTCATAAACTTTAAATGATCATCAATATATCCTATATGCTGTTAGCTGGCTGGATAGCTCAGTGGTTTAGGTCTCTGGTTGTGGAGCCAGTGGTTGGGAGTTCAATTCCCCGCTGTGGATCCTAGAAGAGCCAGCCTGTGTGACCTTGGGCAAGCTGCACAGTCCCAGGGCACCCCCAGAAGAAGGGAACGGTAAACCACTTCTGAGTATTCTCTACCTGGAAAACCCTGGAAAGGGTCTCCATAAGTTGGAATTGACTTGACGACAGATGATTGTTACTATTATTATAGATACTATTGTGCTGGAACGTAGGCTTTGTAAGCTGGACAGAGGCTTAACAAAAGACATCGGCAGTAAAAAATCTTGAGTTGGCTAAATTTATTTCTTGAATTTAGATCATGCCTTTCTGTCAAAACTGGCCCCAAAGAGAGCGAACTACAGTGTGGTCTCCATAAGTTGGAATTGACTTGACGAGACATGATTGTTGTTATTATTATACATACTATTCTGCTAGGCTTTGTAAGCTGGACAGAGGCCGAACAAAAGACATCGGCAGTAAAAAACTTGAGTTGGCTAAATTTATTTGTTGAATTTAGATTATGCCTTTCTGTCAAAAGTGGCCCCTAAGACAGCGAACTACAGTGGTGCCTCGCTTGACGAGGATAATCCGTTCCAGCAAAATCGCTGTAGAAAGAAATCCTCAAGCGAAATGAAAAAGCCCATTGAAATGCATTGAAAACCGGTTCAATGCATTCTAATGAGCGAAACACCTCAGCGCCCAGTGAAGATCCTCCACAGGGCGGCCATTTTCCGGTGCCTGTACAGCGAAAAAGCCTTCCTAAACACAACAGGGAGCCATTTTAAACAGCGGGCGGCCATTTTGAAACCTGATGATCAGATGTTTTCTGATCATCATAAAGCGAAACATTGGTTCCCAAAGCAGGGAACCAATAATCGTAAAGTGAATTTTCCCTATCTAAACATTGTTTTGCAATCGCAAAAGCGATTGCAAAAATACATCGTTAAGCGATTTCCTTGTCTAACAAGGTAATCGTCAAGCAGGGCACCACTGTATAGTAAAGGAGAGGTGAAAGACAAAATCTTGATTTTAAAATTGAAGGAAAAGAAATAAATTCAAAATAGAACAATAAACACGATGAGCACCCAGCCCTTTAGATCCTCACCAGCAACAAACTGGTGTATATGCCGAAGGCCAACTGGATTAAAAAATGGCTTTGCCTGCAGGTGGAAAGGGACTGAAGAGGAAAACAGATTAGCTGTCCATAGAAGGGAAGTCCCGGAGGCTTGTAGTGGCCACCAAGAGATGATTGGGATGGTGGTCGGTCCAAACAGCCGTTGAAGATCTTAAAAGGATGGCATGTTCAGATGAAAGAATGATTCTGGAAGTGACCTGTAGAGAGAGCCAAGATGATACAGTATTTATGGATTGGCCTATTGAGGGGGAAAAATGCCATTGTCATAGCTCTTATCTAAACAGACAAACAGAGTGGTCGACCAGACCAGATGGGTGGGATACAAATCAAATAAATAAATAAATTGATATATTGCAGGTGAGGATTCCTCCCTCCCTCTGCTTTATATGTTCTTATAAAGGCATGAGGGCAAACCAGGATTTGCATCTCTAATATAAATGTGCTGGTGACGTAATTGAAAGTAAAAATCCAGCTAGGAATTGCTAAATTGGGTCCCTTACCAGCTCTGCAGTTCTAAGATTATTATAACTACAATAAGAACTCTCTTTGTTATGTAGGCTTGTTCAGGAGCCCCTTGCATGAGCAATAAGAGTTTCCATGAGCTTTCACAGCGAGCTACTTCACTTTTATTCACTGATGATGATTGATCCACATAGGTTTAAGCCTCCTCTTTACTCTTCTGCTTTCTTCTAGCAACATCATGGTTTCAGTGCTGCTTTCTCTTGCCCGCAAAGTCTGGCTTTCGGGGATCCCTCGAAAGAAATCCAAACTCTGCCTGTCCCAGTATAAACCTTAAGCCCCTTTCCTTGGTAGACCCACCCACCCCACCTTCCTTCTGTCATCTCTGTGCGTTTTTAGTTCTGAAATACCAGAGATAAACCTCAAAGTCAACTCAGCCGGGTCTTCTAAGGTTCAGGTTAAAAAAAATAAATAAATCTGTAGATGGTCTTTTCACTGCTGCTGCGGTTGCTTCTGTTTCCCCCAAGAAAATGTTCAGAGCCACCAGAGGGAGATGAACTGTGTCGTAGCGACGAGGGTGTTCCACCAAAGGCGAAGCAAGGAGAATAGGAACAGACCTGTAAATTGTTTTGCCTTTTCTGTTGCTGTCACTAGAGGGTAGGAGAGCTGCAGCATTCCCGATACAAGCCAGAGTTCAGGCTCCAGGAGTCATCTTACGGAAAGAAAGAAAGGGAAAAAAAAACTTCCGTGGCCATCCGAGAGGCAGTAA